TTTTGGGCTTTAACAAGAAATTTTAATTAAATTTCTTTAATTTCAGTTCTTTTTATTTTACGATTTTTATTGGTTAATCGGCATGTGATATTTTTCACATAATAAAAATTTACAGTTTTGATTGGCTAAACTAATATGCATGATCGGGATTATCATTTCCTTATTTGAGATAGTCTCTCTTGGACCTTTAACCCCAAATATCTTGGGATCCACAAGGCCAATTTTGATAATCTAACCACTATTAAAACTAGAAAAATCCTCTCTACAACTTTACTTAGAAGCTTAACAGACCTTAACTTAATAAAAACTTCTTTAAATATTAAAAAATTAATTTTTTAAATTTGATTGGTTATTTAAAAATAGAATTTTTTATATTTTTTGTATAACTCATAGTGGAAATAGCAATTTACTATGGTGGAAATAGCAATTCTCTATATTTATAAAAATATATTTTACAACCTTTATTATAAGAATAAATATATGTATCACTTATTGCGATATATATATATATATTATAATTTGTCTTATAACAATTAAAATAAACTGGGATTTTTTTATTTGGTTAAAGTTAGGTAGAGTTAAGATACAATATAAAAGAAATTTATAGCAAGAAATTTTTTTGTTTGAGTATAAAAGATAGTTTTATTATGAAATTTTGAGTTATAAGTAATTTTTGCTAAAATAAATATTTGTTTTAAATCTTTCTGATCATGCTACATTATATCTAATCTTGAAATTTGATTGGTCAATCATTTAAAATATGATATATAAGCATATCATGGGTTGCAATGTCTAATTAAGTTCTTATTATAAAAGTTTTTTTAAAATTATTAATAATTTTTTGAATAATAAAACTTTAAAGTTTTTGTTTAAAAAGTTTTTCTATTAAAAATTTTTCAAGATTCTTTAAGTTTTTATATATTTCTGAAGCTAAAAAAAATTTATGCTCTTAATACAAATCTAAATTTTTATAAATAAATTATAAAAGTTGTAATAATAAAAATATTATCTTTTATATAAACTAAAATATTATATTAAGAACTATATCTTTAAAATTAATATTTAAAGAGTTTAGCAAGAATAAGTTGATAATTTTTTTTATTAAAAAATTTTTTCTATTTTTATTTTATAACTAAGATTTTTTTAATAATATAAAATTAAATACTGCTATAATATAATCCTTATTTTCAAATATTATCAAAAAAATTTTATTTAAATATATTATTTAAAAAAAGTAGATCATAATCATATTTATAATAATTTTCTAGACAAATTTGTCTGAAAAAGCTTACAGTTTAAGAGACAACTAAAATATCTTTTTGAACAACTCTAATTAGTGCAACTATGTATAATTACTTAATAAATTTTAAAGATCAGAATAATTTTTAAATTTTTGTATAATATTTTATGGGAATTATTTTTTATACCTCCCGATTTATTATTCGTACCCTCTATACCGCAAATTTCTGATATTCACGTGATCACGTGAAATGATGATCAGTTATCTGAAATATGATTGGGCAATATTGTAATGCAAACCATATAATCGTTCAATTCACCGAAAATATTCTATAAACATCCAATTCATTATACACGAATAATATCAAACAAATAAAATTCTATAATATTTATTAGATTAAATAAAATACAGTTACTTTAGAATAATTGATAGTTTTGCAGATATTATATTTAAATAGAATCGACAATAAAACTGAACCTGCAAAAATATTAATAGAAATTTTTAATAAAAATGCACTGTTTAAGCTTAGTTTTAAGAAATAATAGCGCTACGTATCAGATGTTCTTTGTATAAATACCAGTATAAACTCATTAAAACTTAATATATATGGAATTGGCGCTAATAATGCAAAATTACTAGCAGATGCATTTTGTCAAAGCGCAAAGTTATCTTCTCTAGAAACCTCTTGTAATAAACTCAGTGATATCGAATACGTATTTTGATTACAAAAAAAATGTATACAATTTTTTAAAAGAGATTTTGTATTATTATATTATTTTTAATTGTATAAAAAGCCAACCAACATACTCAGCTATTAGTTCAAAAAGAGTTAATCAATTAGTTGTTTTTTTAACTGCTTAATGATCTAATAAATTGCTTGGTTGAGAATCTTAATAATACTATCTCCTGATGTAACTCCATCACAAACTTTTAATTTTCTAATATGATGATTACATGCAAATCTGGAAGTGCTAATCAAATAAGGAATGGATAAATTGAGATCCCAAAATAGTGTAGATTATGGCTTAAATAAAATATAATAAAATTAATTTTATTAATAGCAATAGTACAAATTAATATAAAAAAAGCGAACAGTAAATTCAAATAGGTGTAACTATAATTAATAGATTAATTAATTTCAGTTAGTAAAAAAAGACACAATATTGTGGCAGCGTTAATACAGATTTAAGATAAAGTATATGAAATGCAATAAATCTTAAAAAATTGTAGGGGGTGGCTATGAACAGATTGTGGCAATGTACAGAAAGTGGTCGATAAGTTTTTGAATCAAATATTAAATTTATTGATCACTTTCACAACTTTACTATAGCATATTCTAAGCTGCACTCTATACTCTTTTAGAGTGAAATTGTGAAGAAAAAAGATATAATATGTTCTAAAAGAGTGTAGAGCAGGATGCTAGAATGGATCGTGAAAATTTGTATGAAAAAAAGATACAATTATGAAATTAAAGAATAAATGAGCATTGCAGAGTGAAAACCTGTAATTGATCCTTAAGTAAAGTTATAGACAGGTTTTCACTCTGCAATACAAAAGCTTCGAAATAAAAAAGGAAGATAAAATAAAAAAAATTCATTATGAAATCTTGAAGCCCCAACATACTAGATTAAGAAAAGTAGTAAAAAACTTTTATAAATCTAAAATATAAAAAGGAGAAGGGTTAAAAATAATCACAGATTAGAAATAATTCGATAATACCCTTGCCTTTAAACATTTGTCCCAAGCTATAATAAATCGTAAACATTTTAAAGATTAATTTACTATTGCGATATTTTATTTTTTTTTTGTAATTTTCAATCTTTGTACTTTTTCTCTTTAGTTTTTTTTTTTTTGTAATTCTCATTTTTTGTGCTTTTTTTCTTGGTTTTTTTTTTTTTTTGCAATTCTTTGTTCTTTGTACTCTTTCTCTTATCTCTATCTAAATTGTCACTACATCAAGTATTATATAAGTCAATAAATCGTGCCAACAAACCTTTCACATAATCAATTGATTTTTTTTTTCTTGTCAATAAATTATGCTTCCTCCTCCTTCTGAAGTATACAAATGTGCCGATGAACTTTTTCAGAGTATACAAAAATTTACAAATTCTCAAGGCTATGCATTAGTTAAAAAAAGAACTTGGAAAGATGAGTGTGGTAAATTAAAAAATATGACATTACGTTGTGACCGGGGTGGTGTTTATAGTAACTCTCTTGAGTTATCTAAAGAAACATATAGTAGACAAAAAAGCACTAGATTAATAGACCATCTTTTTAAATTGTGTACTGCCTGACACAATAGCTTATAGCATTTGGAGATTAGTGATGCTATACATAATCATAATCCCTCAGACAACATATTAGGGCATCCCATTGTTCGTCGACTCACAGAACAACAGATAGAAAATGTTGTATTGATGACTATTGCTGGTTCAAGTCCCCATGAAATTGTATTAACAATTCAACAAAATAATCCATCAGCACTAGTCATTAACAGTGATATCTATAATACGTGTGCAAAATTTCAACAACAAAATCTGGCTGGTTGAACTCCCATCCAGGCATTAGTAGATGAGCTTCAAGAGGATGATTTTTTGTATAAGTACAAATGTGATAATACCGGTTCTGTTACTCACTTGTTTTTTGCATATAAAGAATCAACTTGTCTTATTCATCAATACCCTACAGTAATTCTTATTGATTGTATCTACAAAACAAACAAATTCAAAATGCCATTATTAAGTATTGTAGGTATAACCAGTTTCAATACAACCTTTTATACTTGCTTCATGTTCATGAAAAGTGAAGAAGAAACAGATTACAATTGGGCTCTAACAAATGTTTTAGGATTGTTTGACGAAATAGAGAAGCCCAGCATCATTGTGACTGATAGAGAGTTGGCTCTCATGAACACTCTCAGAATGATCTTTCCTAATTCAACAAATATACTTTGTGTATAGCACATTAGTAAAAATGTCTTAAAAAACTGCAAGCCATATTTTTCGAAAGAAATAGAGGATGAATAGCAAGGTTTTCTCGCAAAATGGAATGATATTATTCAATCTAATACAGAAGACGAATTTGATGAAAAATGGATAAATTTCTATACTACCTATATTAACAAACCTAGTGTAATATCTTATATCCAGGAAACCTGGATACCGTGGAAGAAAAGATTCGTAAATGCTTGGACAAATATGTTTCTTCATCTAGGTAGTTTCAATTGATAACTAGTTGCAACTAATCGATTAATCGATTAGTTACAACTAAACAATAAATTAGTTAATTTTTCATTCAATTGGAAATTAATTTTTTAATAAATTAGTTACAACTAATCGATTAATCGATTAGTTGTGTCTAGAAAGTTCAATCGATTAGTTAACTAATCAACTAATCGATTTTTTTAACTTTCTATTTGCAATATTACACTTAGAAACAACTACAACTTCACGCATTGAAGGTTCACGTGCAACTCTAAAATCATATTTGCAGACTTCTACGGGAGACCTTCATCGTGTTCATATGAAAATATCATTGGCAATAACCAACCAAAGAAAAGAGCTTGATGCTATGATTGCGTCTGAACGCATTCGTGTCCCAGTTTTTGCTATTAACAATTCTTTTTATGCAAATATTAGGGGTAAAGTATCTTTTTTTGCGCTCAAGAAGATAAATGAGCAGTATTAGAAAGCAAAATATGCTACTGTACAAGAGCCCTTATCACCATGCACCGGATCCTTCTCAAAAACAATGGGGTTACCATGTGCCCATTTTATTCAACATTTGGGAAATCAAAGCCTAATGCTTAATGACATCCATACGCATTGGTGGATTCCAGGAAACTTACCGGCGCCACAAATTGATGAAGATAGTTTTCATCACGAAGATTCACTACAACCACTTTTGCAAGACCTACAACAAAAGTATCAAGAATGGACAGAGTTTCAGCAATTAGCAGCACAAGACACATTAAAAAACATGATAGATGAACCAGTAATGACCTTACAAAATCCAAATGTAGTTCGTACCAAAGGACGTCCTTCTGGAGCTCTTAATAAATGACAAGTTAATTCTACTAAAAGAGACCCTTCCGGTTTTGAATTGGCAGATAATAAAGTAAGGTATTGTACTCTTTGCCAACAACCTGAGCACAATGCTCGCACTTGCATAAATAAAAATAACTCAGTATAAAAAAAGCAGTTAGTTTAGTTTGATATAAACGCGAAATTTCAAAAGTAAAAATCATTTGCATCATATATTGGATTCAAAGTTAAATAAAATTCGAGTTTATAACTCTTGATCTTTATTAATTTTTCTTTCTTAAGTATATAAGTATAAAGCAAGCAAAACAAAACATTTTCATTACTACTGTATACACTTTTACCGGTGAAAAGAGATGGTTGATTCATTTAAGTTCATGGTGCTTGTGTAAATTTACAATAAGATTTTTAGTTATAGGTGATTATAATACAATTAGCTACTACAACTAATCCGTTAGATCTAATAGAATCGTTGAATAAATATCGCTATACTCTACTTTTGAGAATGAATAAATATCGATATATTGTACTTTGAAAAAATAGACGATCGTTTAATATCTAAGCAATGTCATATAATATCATTGCCCAATTGTATTTCAGGTAACCGACTATCGTTTCACGTGATCACGTGAACATCAGAAATTTGCGGTATAGGAGGTACGAATAATAAATCGGGGGGTATAAAAAATAATTCTCTATTTTATATTAATTGCAAATTTTTTGCAATATTGCAATTTTAAAAACTTGTTGATATAATTAATTGTATCTTGCTAGTGTAACAAGTTAGCAATAGATGCTCTAATAACTTAGATTAGACATAAAATAGTTACAGAGTACCAGAACAACTGATTTATTATTAAGATTTACTGTCTAAAGAGTATAGATTTATATATTTTTTACAAGACTAAGGTTTTAATTAACTATATTACTAGTATAATTGTTCAAGTTAAAAAAAATTAAGCTTTACTGTATATTAAACAAACTCTTTTGTATATTTAATATTTAAACTAAAAAAATATTTTAAATCTAAAAAAATTAGGTTTTAACCAAAAGTATTAGAAATAAAAAAGCTAAAAAATAACAAAAAATATATTTATTAATTTAAATACTTGTAAATTATAATTTTTTTTATCTGCTATTTATTGTTTTTCTTTTTTTTAATACTCTATAGAAACTTTATTAGAGTATTGTATAATTATTTTTTAGATATTCTATAGAATAGATGAGCAAACTTTGCAAACTTTGCAACTCTGCTTTTAAAAAATTAATAATTACTAATTATTAGCAAAGTTTATTTCTTATAATGCTCATCTATTTTATAGAATATCCTATTTTTTTAATAAAAAGTAGATAAATTGACTTATTTTTACAAAAAATTAATACTTTTTTAAATAATTATATATTATAACAAACAAGAAATATAACAAATAAATAAGTAATAAATTACAATATATATAATAACAAAATAGAATTTAATATTAAAAAAATTAAATATAAAGATATATATAATTTTAAAATTATGTATATAAATTTTTTTTAATATAGATTTATAGTATATAATTAGCTTGTTTTAATTACAAACAATATATCAAATTTTTATTAATTAATTATAGTCTAATTTTTTAATTATAATATCTTTTTTAAATTTTTTTTTTTTTTTGCTTCACTTAGGCTGATCGTGCCAGTACCTTTATTTAATCAAGCACCACTTGTGGAAGTGCAAAATCATTAAAACTACAGGTCTGACATTCTGCAGTTACCTCGACTAACCTAACTGATTATCTAGTCCTACAGGCGACCTGCCGCACCAGAGAGGTACGATCAATTAAGATAATACTCTACTGGGAGCTCGTCCGACCACCGCTCTACAATAGGATATTACCAATCTGATAACATCTTCTCGTAGAGAAGTAAAAAAAAAAGAAAAAAAAACATATAAATGAAACACAGAGATATAGGGAGAAACGTAAAAAAAAAAACAAATAAAAGAAAAAAAAGGGGTAAGGGGAGAATAGAAAAAAAGAAAAAAAAAAGACAAAAACTAAACTAACTATGGGATTTTTCACCTATACTGGACGGTCACGATTATAAGCCTGTGTCGGGCTTCTTAAAAATTACATACTACTATCTAAACTACTCTCTACACTAATTTATATACCTAGTATGTTAAAGACTTAAAACCTAAAAAAAAAACAAAAAAAGAGGGAAGCTTCTTCGACTGTCAGCACTGTAGAGAAGTCAAACATCGCACTATTGGACTCGGAGCATTGTTTGTCCAGATTGTCAAATTCGAGACACGTAATCATAGGTTCACTATTCCATATGTATTCACGTGTTTGTTGTGACAGGTAAAAAAAAAGTAAACAATACTGCCCGATTAGGAAAGTAAACAAACTGTTGATCTTTTGGAGAGGGTAAGCTGAGTCGCCCACTTTTTACAAAATTTTCCTCGAAAAAATAGTAGGGGATAACAGAAATATGTGAGATTCTTCTGTAAGTTTTACGGTTGTATAGTTGGTTTTACAAGACTATATTATCTTAGCGAGGGCCAGTCCACTACTTGCTTCTAGAATAAACCTTCTAGTTTGGATGCCGAATAACCTGGGGAGTCCACC